GACATATGACCACACTGAAATGTGAACGTATAACAATTGCAAGTGAAATTGAACCATATGTCAGTCCCAAAATGACCTAGTTTATACGACATACAAATGCATGTCAGGACTAAAATTTGAATCATTTTTTTCAGTAACAGGTCAACCTCAAGTAGTCCGGACCAAAATTATAGAAGGAGGAAAAACTCCACAATCCAAAGAACTAAAGACTGTTAAAAAAGAACCGAAACCGGACTTAGCGTCTCCGATATCTGTTAATGATCGAACGGAAGTGGTTATAAATGGAAAGAAATGTGTCTTATTGGTCAACCCTGATACAAAGGAGATGTGTGCTTATCCTATTTTACCACCAGAAGGTAAGAAACGTATTAAAGATACATTATGTAAGATTTAGATAAAGAGCTGGCCATTCGTGCTGTAATAGTTTAAAGGGACTATCCTGATAGTCTCAGAAATAAAAGTCTGTGTATGTATGAAATATAGAGGAATGGTGTATTGACCTTGTTTCAAATTATTGAGTCGTTTGGATTTGAATGTCAAAACCGCTTATCCAGACATGTAACGCTTTTAAGATTTCAGATTCATTTTTTTCATTGGGTGACCTGATAATCTATTGCTGTTCCTTTAGGGTCTATATAGTGCATGACCCACATGCTGTACTTGATAACGAACGTTAAATTTCACCACGAACGTTAAATTTCACCTACACATTATTATTATAAAATAAAAGTCTGGTTTTATCCATACACCGTATAATACAACTTGGGGCACCGGTCTCCATTTCCAGATGAAGACTGGCGGGTTTAAGTTGTTTGAAAACATATCATGTATATTGAGTTAGTTGCTCAGTCCTAAGGTAGAGGATTTTAAGGGCTTTTAGCACAAAATTAAGCAGTTTTATTCTCCAAAATATAAATGGCCCTTTAAAGATGCAATATGTAAGATTTAGATAAAGAGCTAACAGTTCTTGCTATAATAGTTCAAAAATAAATAATGAAAAATTAGTATGTTGAAAATTTCGCTCAAATTACTTTATTCTGTGCGAAATTATGAGTGTTTGAAGTTTTGACAAAATGTAGTGTAGATTGTTTACTATGTCTCAATTTTCTCTTTTAAAGTTCAAATCTTAGATGGCTGCGGTGTTCTAATCTACTTAAAATCGGCCGAGAGGATCGATTATGGGCCTGTCATGTTAATAAATGTTTAAATTATAGTTTATATATAACATTTAAAGTCAGAAAAAAGACCTACTCTCACATAATGTATCATATTAATTTTACTAATAAAGTACATACAGAAATCGGCAATTATTGAAAGTTTTTATCTTAAAGGGAAAAAAAGACGCGGTCGTCCAAAGAAAGCAGCGAAGACAGCAGAAGAACTTGCAGAAGAAGAGGAAGAACGAAAAAAGAGTAGGGGAAGTAACTCATCACAAGATGTTTTGTCAGAAGGGGGAGCAGATCAAGCTACTAGTGCTGTTGAAGGTTTACTGGAATTATCAAATACAGGTTTGTTGTTATTTATTTGTTGGCTGTTGAATTATGAAATACAGGTTTGTTGTTATATTCCTTGGCTGTTGAATTACCAAATACAAGTTAGTTGTTATTTATTTGTTGGCTGTTAAGTTAAATACAGGTTTGTCGTTCTAAAACTACTACTGTAGTGTTTTTTGAAGGTATATTTGAATTATCAAATTTAGGTTTGTCGTCATTTTAGAACTCATTTGCTTTTCAAGGTTTACGCAAATGATCAAACACAGGTTTATCGTTATTTATTTGTTGGCTGTAGCAAGCGAGTATTTAAAGTTTTATTTTTCTCCACGACAGCGACACTACGTCCGTGGATACACCAACCTGTGTTTGTTGCCCCATCCGAATAACAAGATGTTTTTCCATGCCAGGCCATCTGACATGCTCTTGAAAAAAAAAAAGTCCTACATTTCTGCACCAACCATGCTAATGAAGATGGGCATATGCTATACAGTGTGCTGTGAGGCAAAATTTGCCCGGACAGCGGTCGTGCATCCTACTATTATTTCAGATGCCCACTGTCAAATGTAGTATTATATCATAATTATTTTAAACAGATGAAGAGTCCAGGTGAAGAACGATCTAAGTCACATTTTTGTCTTTTCGCGAAAAAGGCTAAACAGAATTTTGGACGTGAATGTTTGACGCGAACAGAACAACGAGTGGGTTTATTTACAACTTCAAAATGATGTTTACTACGAATCATAATTACCAGTACAACAACTGACTTCCACTTTTCAGCCAAATTAAGGTCAAATAAAGGGTACAATGGACGTATTTGTCAGCGAGGCCATTTCAGAAGGGCCTTGGTTCGATGTGACTCTGATCATTTTTACCTGAAATTGATTGTTCCACAGAAAGCTTATACAATTTGCTACCAGATGGCGCCATTAACTGGGGTTTGTTGAAAAAGTGTCTTAGTTTGTTCTTACCCCGGGGCTCTTCAGATATTTGTCCATGATTATTATGTTATTATTTTCTACCTACAGGCAATGTCAATATTTCTTTTTTCCTACCTACAGGTCCAGATGGTGTCAGACGAAGCAACCGACCACGGAAAAAAACAAAAACATTAGAAGGTAAATAATACATAAGCAGAAGTTCCACAGGTTTCACGAGTTGACAATACATGCAGCTTTAACATTTTGTAGAAGTCCACTCTTAGACGAACTGCTTCAGTAAAATAAGTAAAACTGGTTATATCAGGTTGAAGGATTGTTGCCAGGCATTAGAGATGTATTATGTAAGAGTTAGATAAAAGAGCTGGACGTTCTGGACATAATAGTTAAAAAATGAAAAATGAATATTGACAATTTCACTCAAATTACTCTTTTCTGAATAGTAATGTTATAAATATTTGAAGATCGTTCGTTACCCCATAGCAATGGTACTTGACAATCAAGTCTATGTCTCGTTTGTCTATTTTATCGCTAAATTTTTAAATCTCGCAGATGTTTAAATCAATTTAAATCTCTGCCATCCGATGTCTAGAGAGATGATTACAGACTTGTCATCATGTAAATAAATGTCCAAATGATAGTTTTCTATAACATTTGAAGTCAAAATAAAAACCTGTAATAGGCAGATTTAGCTAGTCTTACATAATGCATCTATAATAATAATTTGATCTAAAATGTAATAAACCCCAAATACATAAACATATTTGTATTTAAATCTACTAGATAAGTTTGTTAATGTTAATATCAGAGTTACTTCCCCTGTCACATAACATTCATCAGAAAATTGGTTTGTAAGAAAAGCATTAGAAAATTACCCCTATAGCTCAATAACTAGTAAGTCTAGATTGGTTCTTCAATCTTTTAATTACTGGAACTTATATCTTACAAATGACAATAATTCAATACATACAATGTATACCTACACAGTGGATGACCTGTTAACATAGCTGCTACTATGTCAGGCGACCTATTATAATGACTTGCCTATTGATGTACATTAGACTTTTTATATTCTAACTATGAATGAATAAGCACATGATTATCACTAGAGACAGTAACATAAATAAACAATATTGGATTAAATACTTAAAGATACATTATGGGAAATTCAATAACGAGTTGGCAGTTCTCACTATAATAGTTAAAACTAGATAATGTAAAGGCATTACTAAAGTCAGTACGATAAACAGCATAGTCTCGATTATCCATTTAATCGTTAAATTGTGAAGGAAAGTTATGCAGTAAATCAGCTCATAATCCACTAAAGATCGCAGGCTAGCGATGCCATCTAGAGTTGATTATGGTCTGGATAGATTAATTGATGTCTAATTAATAATTTAGATAACATTTCAGATCTAAAGAAAGACCTGCAATAGACAGTTTTAACTCTTGCATAATGTTTAACTAATTAGCTTCTATCCTGATTTATATTAACCATGACACATTAAATGCTGACTGTCTTCATTGGACTAGTCAAACGCAGAAGAGCAAGAAGTTAAATTTCATTTCATTTCTTGGACAGAGTATGAAGCGTTGGTATTGTCTGGTGATGAAGAAGATGTTGGTGATGCTGGTGCTATCGATGATGATGACGATGATGATGCAGACGTTGTTTTACCTGGATATAAAAGAAGAAAATTACAAGACTCAAGCTACCAGACTTCTTTTACAACTCAAGGTACATGCAGACGTTTGGCAAGTTTTCTGTTATTTCAGTTGGATGGCCGAATGTTTAACAATCGATTATCCAGTGCCTTTTTTCAAGCGTGTGGTGGGGGGGGGGTGATGGCCTAATGGTTAACATGTGCGTGTTGTATCATAAGGTCTGTCATTGAGTCAACTGGTATGGTTTTGATTCCCCATAGCTCACGACTGCAACCAGCGGTGACCAGTCAGCTACAACTCGAAATGCGACACTCTAGGTCTTCCCGCCCGCCTTACTTTTGTTGCATGTTAGACTACCTAAATATTGTCCATGAGAACTCTTGTAGTTTATATACAGTTTTTCGTTGCCAGGGTTACTGTTATATATTACTATATTTAACAGGTGAAAAACGTCCACGAGGTCGACCAAGACGATATCCACCACCTGGGCAGACAACCACAACATCCTCTATACCTGCTGTTCTTATTCCTTCACATAACGGGCAAACACTGATGATGGCACCATTACAGGTACGTTAAACATTGGGGGGGGGGCAAACATTGATGATGGCACCATTACAGGTACGTTAAACATTCGTTAAACATTATGGGGAGGTGCAAACACTGACGATGGCTCCATTACAGATGCATTAAACATTCCTTAAACATTGGGGAGAGGGGCAAACACTGATGATGGCACCATTACAGGTACATTAAACATTCGTTAAACATTAAGGGGGGGGGGGCAAACACTGATGATGGCACCACTACAGGTAGATTGGTTAAACATTGGGGGAAGGGGCAAACACTGATGATGGCTCCATTACAGGTATATGAAACATGGGTTAAACACTGGAGAGAGGGGCAAACACTGATGATGGCACCATTACAGGTACGTTAAACATGGGTTAAACACTGGGGGGAGGGGGAAACACTGATAATGGATCCATTACAGGTACATTAAACGTTGGGGGGGGGAGATGTTGAGGGGGGGGAGGCGCAAACATTGATGACGGCATCATTACACGTCTGTTAAATAAAGGGGGTGGGATGGGGGCTAGGGGAAACATTTAAAACGTAGGGTGGTGCCAGGGGGGGGGGGGGGAAGGAGCAAACACTGATAATGGCATCAAAACGAATAAGTTAATAGTTAAGGGGAGGGAGAGCCAGCAACTGAAAGAGAAGGAACAAGAAGATGGAAATCATTAAAATCTAGGGGATATACTGTAGAAGATTGGAACCAGTAAATTCTAGGGGATATGGGGGGTTGGATGGCTTAGTGGTTAGCACGTGTGCGCTGTATCATTAAGTCTGTCATTGAGTCAACTGGCGTGGTTTCGAATCCCCGGTTGTACGTGACAAGGAGTAGGGTCGCCTGTCCAACCTCGTGGGTTTTCTGCGGGTCCTCCGGTTTCCTTCCACTACTAAAGACCCCTATGCGCAAGCGAATTATAGAAATAAAATTGAACCATGTGTTAGTCCCGAAATGACCTAGTTTGTGTCGAGTGGACGTTAAACCCCATCTCTCTCTCTCTCTCTCTCTCTCTCTCTCTCTAGAGGGGATATACTGGAGAAGCTGGTACATAATTCAAACGGCAATTTTTTGAGTAATTGAGTCTGGTGTGAAAGATTGATCCTAGACCCTTTGTTACACCACATGTGCTCTGGTCCCCGGCGACTATATCTAGAGGGCAACCGCACATCCTCTATAAAGCCTGAAGAGTTTGAATTGAACAAAACTAGTCGCTTCTTGCGAGAAATCTGGGAAGAATATTCGTCAATTAATAGATTTTTTACTATTTTCTTTGTGATTTTATTTTTTGCAGGGTGTTCAGAATCTTCATTCGTTACAACAGCAAGTGAAATCTCTTCCTAATTTAATGCCGAGAGTCCAGAATGATCCGTCACTATCGGCCGTTTCTACACAGACCATCTTTTCGTCAACAGATTCAGAGTTACAAGATGCTACCAATAATCTACAAATCGACCCAAACTCAGGTAACGCTTTTCTTTTCCTCATGTTTTCCTTTAAAGATGCATTACGTAAGATTTAGATAAATAGCTGACAGTTCTAGTTATGCTACCTCAGCTATTTCATTCCATTGATAAAACTTTTATTGTCCACATGTTTTCCTTTAAAGATGCATTATGTAAGATTTAGATAAATTGCTATAATACTTTACAAATTGATAATGAAAAGGAAATATGTTGAAAATTTCAAATTACTTTATTCTGAGTGAAGTTATGAATGTTGGAAGTTTTGATTAAGAGCATTTTAATCTTGATTGTATAAATAGGTATTTCATTCCATCGATAAAACTTTCATGTCATCTATCCTACATGGGAAACCATGCTGGGAAATCCAGAGAAACACTAGAATTGATCCTGAGATCTCTTGGACAGTGAGTCATACAAGATCTCTATTATTCACATTACGGACTCATAAGTGGTAGACACAATTGCCGAATCATTTGGTGCCAGATTTTAATTGATCGAATTGATGGACACACTAGGCGAATCCTTCGCCCGATTACCAGTCAATTGCATCACCTTTCACGTGGCCACGACCATGTCTCCAAACAATCACTTGACTTCTCTATATGAGTGGATGATGAGTGATGATTGGCTAATGAATTCTACAATCGGGCAAATGCTTCGTTGAAGCGAACACACTATGTGAATATAATTCAGCTGAAGGAAAATTCATCCGAATATGTCAAACATGATTCGCCCGAATGACGGTGGACACACAGGTGACTTTCGACACCGATTGATTCGGCCGAACAATTCGGTCAAATCATTCCGCTAGTGTGTCCACCGATTAAAGCAACAAACCTGTTTTGAAAGGATTGTCAGAGTTGCTCAGAAGAAAATCATGAACACCAACCAATCAAATATACACATCACTGGATTCTATCTTTGGTTGTAAAATATTTACAAAAACATTTGGTCTGTTGTTCATTGGTTCACCTAATAAAATTAAAACTTTTATTAAAACGTTATGTAAGATTTAGATAAAGAGCTGTCCATTCTTGCTATAATAGTTAAAAAATAGATGATGAAAAGGGAATACGTTGAAAAATTTCAACCAAATTACTTCATTCTGAACGAAGTTATGGATGATTGAAGAGTATTATGGTCTCGATGTTACAATAGTAAAAACAAAGTCTTGATTATCAATTTTAATTAAATTATAAACTGGCAAACGTATTTATATCCATTAAAAATCAAAAACATCTGATGATATTTTAAAGATGCATTATGTAAGAGCTAAATCTGCCTATTGTAGATCTTTTTGCTGGCTTCAAATGTTATTTAGACATTTATAAACAGGATTAGCCTTTAATCAGCTCTCTAGACAATAGGATGGTCGAGATTTAATAATTTAACCATGAAATGGATAATTGAGACTTAGTTTCAATTGTCAAGTACTGTTGTTATGATAATAAACAATCTACCTAAATCTACAAACAGTAATAACTTCACACAGAATAAAGTATTTTGAATGAATTGTTCAATATAATCATTTTTCATTATCAATTTTGAACTAATATTGTGAGAATGACCAGCTCTTTATCTAAATCAATCTTACATCTTTAAGTTTGAATCAGTAACGTCTTATTTAAACAATGCACGCGTCATTGAGCCAATGATTGATGCCGTGTGATATGTTGCCATGTGTTGAAAACAGTCATCTTTTACAGAGATATTAGAAGACTTTCGTAATACTCTGTGAAGCAGATTGAATTTTTATAGGTGCACATTGAAATACATCTACCTAGGATACTGTGAACAAAATCAAAAGTATTTAGAGAGATTTCCGAATTGTGACATTACCGAATTGTGGCAGCAAATTAAGATGATACCATGTTGTTTTTAAATGTTTTTTTTTTCTTTTCCAGTTTTAGAAAATAATAATATGCTATCATCATTAGATGGTGAAAATTTGAATTTAAACACAGTAACTTCTAATCTCGATTTACCAGGTAGGTTGAATGGTTTTATTGTAATCTACCCACATTGTAAATTACCCAAATTGTAATATACCCCCATTGTAAATTACCCTCCTTGTGATATTCTCACATAATAATATACCCGCATAGTGATATACCCACATTGTGATGTACCCACATTGTAGTAGTGTACCAACATTGTAGTAATGTACCAACATTGTAGTAATGTACCCACATTGTAGTAAACACATTGCAATGTACCCAAATAGTGATATACCCACATTGTGATGTACCCACATTGTAGTAATGTACCGACATTGTAGTAATGTACCAACACTAGTAATGTACCGACATTGTAGTAATGTACCAACACTGTAGTACCCATATTGTAATGTACCCAAATTGTAATTTACCCAAATTGTAATTTACCCACATTGTAATCTACCCACATTGAAATCTACCCATATTGTAATAGACTCACATTCTAATCTCCTTGTGTTGTAGTATACCAACATTGTATTTTGATTTATTATTTAAAGATATTTTATTTAAAAATGATTATTGATAGATTTTATATTTTGTTATTTTAGATGAGAAACCAGTTGATGGAGATGAGAAACCAACAATAATACAAATCCCTGAAAATCTTCTACCAATGTTCATGCCGAAAAAAGATCCTGTGCGGATTGGTAAGTTTCTGTAAAACTATCCCATCGTCTGGACCCAACCCAGTATCTGGACATGTAACAATCCACAGTTGGGATTCCCAACCTAACATCTGGACATATCCTGCTGTTTTAGCAGGAGTTGGAGTTTCTGTATTGAATGTTTAGTTCACAGTCACACCACTGTTGGAAAATTGTTGACATTTGTTGAGAATCACAGTTTTCTTGTTTTTATACGCCCACATGGAAATGTGGTCTTATATTTCCGTGGCCCCCGTCCTTCCATCGTCCACAATTTCTTGTGAACATTCTACAATCACCTGATTGTTTTAAAATTGATATATGTTGTGTATATGAGTGAGATGAAGAAGCTTATTTATTTCGTTCAGGAGTCTTGGCCCTTGTTTCACTTTGTTGCACCGTGTGAACGCTTTAACGACAACAGTTACCATCCAATCTGTATGAAAATTATATGCATCATTGAAATTATTGAAAGGAAGTAGCCTGTTGAATTGCAACAATTTCCATTAAACATGCATTATGCAAGAGCAAAATCTGCTTATTACAAGTCTTTCTTTAGGCCTGAAATGTTATCTAAATTATCAATTAGACATTAATTAACTTATCCAGACCATAATCAACTCTCGATGTCAAGGCTAGCCTTCGATGTAGGCTGGATTAGATTCCTATATGCCGCTAACGGCCACAGAAAATTAAATCAGAAAAAGTGGATAATCGAGACTATGCTGTTTATATTAATGATTTTAGTAATGATGACCGAGACTATGCAAAAATTTCACCCGCTTCTTTCTCGGCTCTTAGTGGATCAATTTGACTGAAATTTTCAGCAAATTACCTTTACACTATCTAGTTTTTAACTATTATAGCGAGAACTGCCATCTCTTTATCTTATCTCCCATAATGTATCTTTAATTATGACTAGAGTTATGGCCTTTGTTTCACTTGGTTGAACCTTGTGAACGTTCTAACAACAAAAGTAATCATCCGATCAGTATGAAATTTACATGCATCATTCAAATTAGTGAAAGTAGCCTATTGAATTTCAGCAATTTTTGTTAATTACTTCCAGAGTAATGTCCCTTGTTTCACTTTGTTGAACCTTGTGAACATTCGAACGACAAAAGTTATCATCTGATCTGTATGGAATTTATGTATCATTTAAATTAGTAAGTTGTAAAGGCCTGTAAAATTTAAAAAAATTCTGTACATTACTTGCAGAGTTAAGGCCCTTGCTTCAGTTTGTACAACCTTTTGAACCCTCAAACTAAGAAAATTATAATCTGATCTTCTACAAAAGAATAAATATGCGACAACCCTTGTTGACTGCACAGACAATTTAGCGGCTGTGGGCGTATGTTTTTTTGCCTGGCAACCCATCTTTCTGTGATGTAAACCCATCCCAGCATTTTGACATATCACATGTAACTACTATTATAAACTCAATCCAGCACCAGGACATATTACATATTATAAACCACACTTCACACAAACCAAAACAGACAAGACAAACCAAAACAGAGAGAGAGAAATGGGGTTTAACGTCCACTCGACACAAACTAGGTCATTTCGGAACTAACATGGTTTAATTTTATTTCAATAATTCGCATGCGCGTAGGGGTCTTTAGCAGTGGGAGAAAACTGGAGGACCCGGAGTAAACCCATGAGGTTGGACAGGTGACCCTACTCCTTGTCACGTACAACCTGGGATTCAAAACCATGCCAGTTAACTGCTAAATACCTATATGTGCAACCAAATTTTTGAAATGAAGTTGAACCATATGCTAGTCCCGAAATGACCTAGTTTCTCTCTCCCCGACATCTGGTTACCTACGAATGCAATCATTTTTTTTTTTAATCATTCTTTCCCTGTTCACCCTATTGCTTTGCAAATTTTTATGTAGAATTGAAGATAAGATTTGAATATACATTTTCTGCCAGGTTTTGGTGAATATTCATGATTTTGAGGTAGAAGGATACGAGAGTTAATAAACTGACTACGTTGAAATGTTCGGCGGACAGTTTCATGTTCACTACTATGCTACTTCCAGTTTGTGTGCATCTCAAGTTTTCCATGATGAACCTCATACGCGCTTTTGAGCAAGAGGTTGCCACACGTTGTTCCATCTGCGGTAGAAAGCAGTCTACCGAACGAAAATTTGGGAAAAAGTTAAGAGAATGAGGAATCCATAGATAGTATTCTGTGTCCATTTGGCTTTTAATTGAGACGTGTATTGCATGATTGGTCCTGAATAATAGCCTATTAGCATTCTTTCGTCTTTCCTGTTTGTCATTGAACGCATGCCTCCATATATTCAAATATATCCGTAACTAAGAAACTACCATATCCACCATTTCTTTATTTTTTAGTTATTTTCTTTTGAGTTTTCTTAATGACAGTTATTTCCCTTGGATTGTCAGTTAGATTTTTTTTTACCTAATTCTGTGAATTACCACTCACATTTAATGCGGTCGATAATTTTTTATGGTTAATCCGCAGCACTGCTATTAATAAAGTCCAATTTTGCTAAATTTAATTAGCAAATTCAAAATCAAAAATTTATCAGCTGTTTTTCATTTTTAACACAAAACACCTAAGATTTTACTTTTATTCATAACATTAACTAATGACGGTCTATTAGAGCAGTGATTCTCAACCAGTGTGCCACGAGATCTTCCTAAGTGTGCCACGAAATCTTGAACGGGAGACTAAGAAAACGGGTAAAACCATGTAACTCCAGTTGAGTATTCACTGGTGTCTACTGGTAAGTTCATAGCTGTGTTTTTCTTTATTTACTTTGAGTCACTTTATGTGCCTAAGACTAGTCTGTGTCTACGGTTGTATGCCGTCTATGACTTGCCATGTTTTTATTCTACAAAATTCAAATATTTTTCATATATATTTGGCCAGGTGTGGCGCTATTTTTTCATGTGTTCCAAGGTGTGCCGTTGGCAAAAAAAGTTTGAGAACCACTGTATTAGAGGCATTTAGTGACTGGTTAGAGCAATAAACTATAACACGTACTTATGGAAGAAAAATTACTGATTTATTTAGGCGACGTTATTGTTATTGTTTGTCTATATATAATTGCCTTACAGATTTGTTACTGTACTTGCTTGATAACGTTGAGAGAATACTCTTCGAAACCGAAACGTCTTCCAAATAAATCAGTAATTGTTCTTCCATAAGTATGTGTTATGGTTTATTAACTAATGACTGAATAATATGATAAAATTTTATTATTCTTTAGTTTTTACTTATTCTTAAATTTTTCTAACATTGCTACATGGAGATGTGAGAGTCTGTGATGCTTCTTCTTAATTGTTATTTCTTTGTTAGAAAATAGTTTTATGGTGTGTTACTATTTTTGTTCAATCAGAGATACACGGAAATTAAGGAATAGACTCTATTAAAGTGATGATTTCACTTTTTAAAGTCATATGTTTAAAATATGTTAAAATAAAGCCATAAAACACATGGCATCTATACACACAGTCCTACCTTGTTAAAGAATAATCCTAAATCCAATAATAATTCACTTGTGTCAGTTGAGAAATTGGCGAATATATAATTTTATTTTTAAATCCAATGTTGCTTTTTACGGTGTTATTATCACGCGTGCGATTTGAAAAGTCTCGTTCAACCAGGCATCATTATCCTTATCTGTTTAACCATGGACCTTGACAATCAAGACAACGCCCTCTTCCATTGTGTAGACTTCGTTTTCTAGTGAAAAGAAATGATAGAATTTTCAAATTGGCGGGTAGAAATTATTTTAAATTTTTAAGTGGTAGAATGATTCCTATGATTTTATATTAGTGATTTGACAACCTATTAAACATACATTATGCAAGAGTTAAATCTGCCTATTGCAGGTCTTTCTTAAGGCCTGAATTGTTATCTAAATTATTAATTGGGCATTAATTAACTTATCCAGGCCATAATCAACTCTCGATGGCATCGGATTTCCCCGATATTAAATAGATTAGAACAGTTCAGCCATATTTTGATTTGAGCTAAAAATGGAGAAGCGTAACTTATAATAAGCTTCGAACAACCAGTACGGTGGTTGAAATTATTGCACACATCTTGTCAAACCTTCAAAGGCTAATATCTTCGCTCGCAATAAAGTAATTTGAATGAAATTTTTGAATTATTCATTCTACATTATCTATTTTCGAACTATTATAGCAAGAATGGCTAGCTCTTTATCTAAATCTAACATAATGTATCTTTAAGTAGCCTAATAGTAATAGATATAGAAATAATTATATTTTGACTTTCTTAGAAAATATGCAATTATCGCTGTAACAAAGATTTTCAAATCGAATACTGATATAATTACTTGAAATTGACATGTCCCGCAACATGAGTGGTACTTGACCTACTTGATTCTCTATTTCCTGTTTAATAGTCCCCACTCATAGAGTTATGTCCCTGTTTTATACAGTGTAATGAATTGAGTCTGGGTAGTTGAGATGAAAAATGCCATACAAAGAATTCAGTTTTCTTTTTAAAATTTTATTTGGCATTTTATGCACATAAAAATGTTGAGAAAGCCTTCTAGTCTTCAAAATGTGGATAAATCTCTGTGTCAATATAAAAAAAAAATTGGCATATTAAGATTCGCAGTTACTGCCAATCAAAAATATTAGATTTTGATTTTTGATAAGCAAGGATGGCCATTACCCTTTCTAACTCTTTGGGTGGGGGGTAGATGGCCGAATGGTTAGCATGTGCACACTGTATCATAAGGTCTGTCATTGAGTCAACTGGTGTGGTTTCGATTTCTCAGTTGTACGTGACAAGGAGTCGTTTCGCCTGTCCAACCTCCTGGGTTTTCTTTGGGTCCTCCGGTTTTCTCCCATTGCTAAAGACCCCTATGCGCAATACGAATTATTGAATAAAATTAAACCATATGTTAGTTCTGAAATGACCTAGTTTGTGTCGAATGGACGATAAACCCCATTCATTTCTCTCTCTCTACTAAATTAAATGCAAAGTG